TCATATGATAGCAATGTTAGGTAGCAATTGCATTCCTTTTGCTGACAATCAGTTCTTTTCGGAATCTTCAACTAACGTGGGAGTGATATTGATAATCTTACTGAAATTGCCGATTATAATCGCTTGGAAATCAGTCTATCTGGCCGCAGAGACGAGGAATCAGAACAAATTGGAGAAATATCATAACATCTCAAAGAGGAATTCAATTGAGTACTTTATGAGATGTCAAATTTCAGGATGCTTTCGAGGATTTTCGAAGACGACGTTTGGATAACCAAATCAATTCGAGTTATTGTCATGTTTGGGATAAGTAAGTGAATCAAAGTTTGGAGTGNAATAAAAATGAAAGAAAAAGAAGGAAAAATAGAAAAATAAAAAAAATCTTATGATTCCGGCGGAAACTTCCATAAAAAGTTCCCATGTGAACAAAACCCATACGATCGAAAATCATAGGTTCCACAGTCCTTATCTATTGGCTCAGGAACAACGTAAGTAACAGATTAGAAGTTCTTTAGAGAGCCCTCATCCATAGCATCATCTCTGCTTTGATCTGTCATCGATAAGCACTGATCTGAGATAACCAACAATCGACATTTCAGAATTTTTGCCTTGATCACGGTTAAAATCGAGTTGCTATTGATGTGATAGTATGAAAAGTTACAGCGATAAAAGCCGATTCCGGAAGATGCAATGGCGATACGTTATAGTTGGTGATTATGTGCATCTATCACTGGACGACGTGATACCGGCTGATATATTGCTGATAAGATCATCGGATTCGAATGGTATTTGCTTCGTGGAGACGTCGAATTTGGATGGTGAGACTAGTCTAAAGCAACGTCGAGTTCCTAACTCGGTCGCATCGTTCTCAGGGGTAATTCTAGCATTTTCTAAGCCGAGTCTATCATCGATCGATGCCTGAACTCAGCAGGACTCATAAGGGTCCCAAATATTATCACTGATGTGCTTTTTTTATTGAGTTTTTCAATAAAAGGCAGAATATTATTTGTTGTCATTCGCAGTTCAGACCAAAAATTGGACAAGATAGTCAAAAACTCGGAGGCTCTTTAGAGATTTTCTTGGCATATCCAGAATCCTTCTAAAATATTTCTGTTCGAGGAGGCACATCTGCAGATTCTTCTCTCTCTCTCTGATAAGTTTGCATAATCTGATTCACTTCAGGAAGATAGTCAATTCCAACCACCTCAACTACAGGCGAGGATAAAATGTGAAAAACCGAATAATTTAATACACCAAATGAATGGTCATATTACCTATGAGGACGGACATATGGATGGTATCTATGCTGAGAATATGTTGCTGAGAGGGTGTAAACTGAGAAACACGACGTTCGTTGAAGGGATTGTCCTTTACGCAGGCAGGTTCACTTCAGCATTTCTATTGAGCACTTGATAATAGCGAATGATAGGAACTGATAAAGAATGAGAAAATACTCGTGACGTTGACAACAACATCACTACTCAAATACAGCAGCAGCAATATTGATAATGCAAACGTGATAACACTCCTAATAACGATAATTAATGCAATTTTATATGATTAACTCTTACAAGAATGCCAGAAATTGTAAATCTGCAGAAAACTGAATCTCAATGGAATCAATTCAAACATTCACAAAATTACCACTTCTAAAAACTACCCGTTTACCAATTCTATTACCCAAATCCCCACTTATCCAATTAGCCACTTCAAAATTAGCCTCAGAGGAAATTAGCGTAATTTCAGGAAAAGACACAAAGGCGATGATGAACAATTCAGGAATACGTTATAAACGAAGCTCACTGGAGCTGGTGACAAATCGCTTCATATTGTATTGTATTGGGATATTGGTAGTAATGTGTTTATTCGCTGGAATTGGCACTATGCTATGGTTATTTTCATTTGCACCGAATACAGATTCGATTATTTTCATTATTCTGAATACCAAGTCACCTGTTACCGATGGAATGGTCAATATGATTTCATCGATTCTGAATTATCAGGTTCAGTGTTTATCTTTTTTTTCCACAATATCATCATTGTTTTGCTCAATTATTCTGTTCATAGCAGTGACATATATCCATTACGTGGATTAGCCATTCTATCAAACGTATTTAACAAGTATGATTATCAAATTCAGATCCTGATCCCATTATCGCTGTATATCTCAGTTGAGTTGGTCAAGTTGGGCCAAATCTATTTCATATCAACTGATGTGAATTTATATTACGAGAAGAACGACAGACGTATGGAATGTAGATCATTGAATATTCCCGAGGAGTTGGGACAGATCCAGTATGTCCTTTCTGATAAGACTGGAACTCTAACAGGTTGGTCGGTGATTTATTCAAATAAATTGATCATGCCAATGATAAAATCTTTGTTACTGATTAATA